CTTTTCACCTTACACCAGTATAGCATTGTCATCAACCTTAATTGTTATGAATCCATTTTATGGAATCTTCAAGTTTGCATCTTGTGAAACTTTCACAAATTTCACAAGATGCAGCCATAGGAGTTATAGTGGACACAATGCTATAACTGCATAGTGTGAAAGGACCCCATGTTAGTGTCTTATAATAATATAGAATGAATGGGCCTATTGAGCTTGAGAATTTCAGTGTTTCACCAGACCTTTTCATTTCAATGCTAGTTGAGATATAATTGCTAAATAAAATTCAGTGCATTAATAGGAACATTCCACCTTCTCTTTAGAATTGCATTCAGTACTGACTGCACTCTAAAGCTTCATGTGTTTTAAAGTACATATGAAGCTGGGAATATCCATTGGGGACTATGTGGATAAATTTTGATTTGCCTAAGATGTAAATAACACATATCACCAAAGTTGGATGTTAAGAAACCTAAGCTGCCACTCCCTTGTTCCTAAGCAGCTTCAAGAAGTGGGATTCCTTCTTTGTAAATGATGTTTATGGATGTTTACTACTTTACATACATAATTATGTTTATGGGTCACTTGGTTTTTAATTTAACAGGATAGAATAAACAATTACCTCTTGTGATCTATATACTGTAGGTATCACATGTACGGTGTTCATGTGTATCATCTGGATGTTAAAATCATATATGATAATAGCAGTGAAAAGACAATTTTCAAAAAAGAAGGAAATTATGGAAACAACTGGAACTATGGACAAGCCACATTAAATGAAACATCCAATTTCAAAGTAAGTTGGACTATTCATCTTCAGAAGCTTTTAGTAATCCCCCTTTTTACTTATGTTTTTACCATTTCTGGTCTTCTATGTCTTTATTCACATCTGTAGAAACAATATATTTTGGTTTCTATTAAAGTTTGTCAATGATGATGACAGAACAGAGGATGATATTGTACTAGAAAATGTTTTAATTTTGGCAAATAAAATTATTATATCACTGGAACACATAAACTTTTTATTGTCTTTGGCCAGTGTGTTTAACCACCAGTTAAAACACTCAGAGTGATTAAATATATGCATAACTGAAATTAATTTGAAATGTCATGGTGATGGTAGTAATATTTAGTATTGAGAATTTTGAATTCCAAAGCATCATTTAGTTATCCCATTATTGAATTTGAATTTCAGAAAGGATATGCCTAACTCTAGCCAATAAATTATTCACCAGGCATGTCAGACACATCTTCAAAAACTTTCTACAAAAGACTTGTTTGTTCTTCTTTTGTAGACCATATATTTTATAGAATAAATAAGTCATTTTACAATTATTATGGTTTTTAAAAAAACATTAAATGTGTATCAAGAATGTGAGTTTGTTTCAGGGGGAGTGGAATTATTAGTAAAGCCAGTAGAATAAATAGATATTCATATTAATAAATGTTAAATTTAAGTGGGGGGGGGGTAGTTCTGGAGACTTGGAAATATCTACTCTAATCTAGAGATGTGAGGAATATTTGAAAATATCTTTAAATGGTCAAAAACATGTTGTTTTTTAAAAAAATGTTGATGAATCCTGATGAGGAGAATCCTGTACTGAAAAGAATCTCTTTATCTAGGATTTATACTGTGCTAAATTTGCACATGGTTGTTTTTCTCAGAATAGTATATTCAAGCCAGAAAATAACATTTTCAAATCATGTGCCAACTTTGTATATAGTTGATACACATAGAAAACAAAATTTTATGCACAGAAAACAGCTTTCTTCTGCATGTGATTTTTGTTTCTTATTAAGTATACAGAAAATATTGTTTTCTGTACAAAATTTCCGTATGATTTTTTGTGCAGAATTAGTCCTAAATTGTGAATAGGCGTCAAAAATGGCATGGATTTTGAACATGGCAGGAAAAAAATACTGACGTTGCTAGTGGCTGAATTATTTTGTGACTGAAGAAATTACACTAGATAGCCAAACAAAAATTAATTTTGGCAAAGCTGGATATTTTCAGTAGTATTTACTAATGACAAATGTGTACAATCTCAAGTGACAGACAATAACATAAAAACACAGCAGAAGTGAAAAATAGCTTTCCTCTGTTGTGGTGTTTCCCAAGTGTATCTATTCATTAGATAGAATAGTTCTTATAATTTCAGAGGAAACAAAGGAGCGTAAATTCCCCATCCATTTGACCTCCCTAAGAACACTGTCAGAATTTACAAATAAAGCTAAAGAAATATTTTCTGTTATATCTTTCATTGAGGTTGCTTTTGATGCTTTTAAAAGGCCAGGATGGGATAACATTGCCATTGATGATATAGGACTAACAAATGGAGGCTGCAAAGAAAGTCTTTATCCAGAACCTACTTTGGTTCCTACAATCCCTACAACCCCTCAGCTACCAAGTAAGTCTTTGTTTTCTGTAGTCATGAGACCAGTTTGCTATTGGAATACTGCTGGGGGCTAATGAAAACCCCCATGTCCTCATAATCCATCTCAAGTGACAGATAATGACATAAAAACACAGCAGAAGTGAAAAATGTATTTCCTCTGTTGTGGGGTTTTCCAAGTGTATGTAGTCCACTTGTTATATCCAGTAACATCAGATGTTAGTTTAAGTTCTATCCCTATAAAGACAGGCTGCTGTATAGCAAGTCACCCTGTGTTTTCCATGGTAAGACTGTTTCATGCAAAAAGGTTTGCAAAGCTCAGCTGTTGTATCATTTTATGCATAACAGAGCTTTCACAACATCAGTACTTCAAGTATAGCTCTTCCTACTGAAGGAAACTGGGCTTGTCTTAACTCGAGCTTTGGGGGCAGCCTAAACAGTATTATTCTTCATGGTCCTCAGTGATTGGAAGTGCCCCTTTTAACGGTTTGAAAATTGTATTTTACAATTGTTTTCAGATTGCTCCTTTTTTTTAAAAAAAAAGGAAGCATTTTAATGTTTTACGAGATTTTTTAATCTTTGTATTATTTTAATTGCTTTTCTTAGTCCATCACCTTACAAACCTGCAAGTAAACTGTTGTTGCCTGAGTATGTCTGCTTAGGACTTTTGATATCATATAAATGACTACCAATATTCTTCCATGGCAGATAATGTAGGGGAATGGCTGGATGGTTAAAAGAAGCAAGAGCAATTGATCTATGGCACAGACAAGTTCCTTTAGAACAAAAAAAGGATGATCCAACACAATCTAGTGCTAATGCACTCTTACTTGAATATTTATGTCTACAAAACCGAAATAAAATTGTGACCTTTATAATGTATCAACGTTCATTGTCGAAATGAACTAATGTTACACACTGATACAAATCCATCCATTGCATCATTTTGTGGATCATCACTGACGCAAAAGCTCACTATGCTTCCATTAATTATATGTATTAACAATTATGATGTTCACTTAAAATCTGCCTGAGAGTATTGATAGGACATGACTTATGCAGCTGATTACAGCTGTCTGATTTAAATTAACTACAGATTTGCTGCCACAATGCTGAAAGACAGAATTAATGATACATAAGAGTAAATTATATGAATCTTAAAAGTGCTTGAGAGAAATGTATGTATAATCAAAGTCCAATAAATGAGCACATAGCAACAAGACTAGAGCAGATAGTTATCTATGTGCATGGAACAGCTAATGATGTAGAATCAGATTGTTTTGCATAACAAAAGAATAAAACTATACTATACCATTTTTGACTGGGAAAATATAGGTAAGATGTCTGGTTTTATTATCTAATTTCTTCAGCTAGCATGCTGAAAATTATTTTTCTTGTTGAACAGGGGAAAACTTTCCTGTCAAATTCAGTTCCTCAGCTTCTCATTTGTCAACAAGGCTATTGATATTAAATCAGCCTTGCTCCCTTACAAAATAAAACAGACAAAAAGAACCTCAGTGGAATTAATCCACAATGAGTTAGACATTGGCAATAATTCAATTCTTCACTAAACAACATAGTGATTTTCAATGGAGTTGAATTACTCAGATGGAAGTCTTGTACAATTTGCCATTCTTTACAGTAATATTAATCCAATGCTGTCCTTGCATACGATTTCTTTTATTTTGTTTTGTTTTACTGAATGGTGTGATATTGTGTTGCAAAGACAGCATCCTACTGTTTTGTCTTCTTTAACCAAACAAATTTGTATGAAAGTTTCTCATACTAATTTACATATCTAAGTGTTAAATTCTGAGAGATGCTATAATTTAGTAGAATACACTTAATCCCATTATAGTGAGAAATACTATGTCCAGGTTTACCTGCTCATGAGCCACTATATTTTGCAAGTCAGTTTCAAGATCCATGCTCTCCACTGTTATTGTTATAGTTATGATGTATCTGATACCATGGTGGCCCTAAGACAAAACTATCATGAAGTTTTATCTGCCAGGTTTGTTCAGAGGAGGTTTTGCCTTCCTCTGAGGCAGAGAGGGTGTGACTTGCCCAAGGTCACCCAGCAGGCTTCCATGTCTGAGCAGGGATTTGAAACCTGGCCTCCAGAGTTGCACCTTTGTGGTTACTTACATGAACACAGGTCATGTCATATCAATGGTGTGATAAGAAGAATGTCTATTGTGTCATGCTCTAGCCACCTCAAAATGGGTTTGCAATGCCAGAACTTACTTTTAGGATCTTGTGAAGTAACCTAGTAGACTTGATACGATGGTGGCCCATCCAAAAAACTGAGTTGCTTTCACTCATCTAATTAAGAAGATTATAGTATAAAAACTTACAGCAGTTTCTTTGTTATTTTCCTTTAGTCTGGGATTCACTGCATTACTTTGCAACTTATCAATGATGGTTTTGGAGAGAATATAGAAAGATTAAGGGTTTTTTTGTAAATGAATGAGAAGTTCTCAAACTTTCTCCTTTATATGAATGTTCTTCAGCTGTGACATCTGTTTCCAGTAATGAGGATGCATGGAACAATATTACAATAGAAGCCCCTCTCTGCAAAGACTACACAAATTATCGTTACATTTAATGGTGTCATTATAATTGTAATTGTAGAGCCTGTGAGTGCTTCTTTCATGCCATCTGTACCTAGGTGGATTCTAATATATCTTGTTAAACTATGAATAAAAAAAACCTTGCCTAGTGAGCTATTCAGTGCGAAAGTATACTTTACATTATTCTAAACTAAAACTCTTTGTTACTTAAGAATGGTTCTTCACATACAGTTATTAGAGGGGCTAATAATTTTTCCAGGCTTACAAATGAGTTACTATAGAATAAAAGCACATTTGTTACCTTTCCTGTTCAGATATAAGATGTCTGCTATATAAATGACAGGATGTGGGAAGAGCGTAGCCCTACTGCTCAGGACACCTGTTTCTCTTTTGACTCTTTTTCCATCCTTATTGAGCACAGACTGATCTGTGTTTAATACAACTGTTTCAGAAATTTTCAGGTCTATCAAAATTCAGAGGAGCATACCGTAGCAGTATTGCTTAGGTAGTAGAGTCTTTGCTTATCTAGCAGGCATTGCTCAGGAAGAAGCAGTAGAATGTCCTCACCTTTGGAGTAAGAAAGGTGGGGTATAAATACTGTAAATAAATGAAATGTTTTTATTTATTTATCTTGAATGCAGTCTTTCCTCTGAAGTGGGCACTATAGGGTATCACAAATAACATTAATTGAAACAATGCAATTTAAAACAAACAAAACAATGTCAAAAAGGAGAAAAATGTTTTTAAAGTTACAAAAGTTGAAAGCATAAAAAACCAAAAAATGCATCTGAATTATTCCTCTTAAATAATTGCTTGAATAGACATGTCTTCACCTACGAACAAATAAAAAGCACAGAGAGTGCCAGGCTAGCCTCCAATGGAAGGGTTTTCCAATGGATGGGAGTCACCAATAAGAAGTCTATCCTTACCAAGTGAACCTGTAATAGTAATGAGGCCCCATCTACACTACCATATAATGTAGTTTCATAATGCAGTTTAACTGCATTGAATTGCATCACAGTGTTCCCTCACTTATCACAGGTGTTACGTTCCAGGACCACCAGCGAAAAATGAAAATCTGCGAAGTAGGGATGCTATATATGTATATCACGTTCTGAGGGTGAGGCGGAAGTGAGGAGAGATTTACATGCACTGCACACCTTTTTTTGCTAGCTATCTTTGCTTTGCAATCTCTCTTGATTGGCTGCCTCTCTCTTGAGGGGGAGGGTGAAACCCCCTCCCACATTCCATCATTGCCAGGAGGCAGAATTAGAACACCACTCTGGGCAATGGCAACCATTCATAAACTGGGAGGCAAAAACCTGTGAAATAGCGAGTCCACGAAAAGCGAAATGCAAAGTAGTAAGGGAACACTGTATATCAGTCTACATTGCAGTTAGACTCAATTATGAAACTGCATTATATGGCAATGTAGATGGAGCCTGAGAGAATGTCTTCCCTTTAGATCTTAATGTTCTGACAGTTTAATTGGGGAAGATGCAATCTTTCAGATAGTCTGGACCTAAACATTAAAATAGCAAATACTGGTGCAGGTGGAAGATGACAAAATAAAACAAAAGTCAACTTGTGGATGAAGTACTTAGAAATGTCCTAAAAGATGTAGAAGAAAAGGGAAAAGAAACAGTTTTGCAGTTGTGTGTATCCAAAGTCAAGTGTTAGGGAATTTAAATGTTAAATTTTGCAGAAGAATGATGTTGTTGTGAAAGAATGCTTTTCAAATAAACAAAAGAAAGATAACTGCCTCTCCTAGAAAAAAAAATGTCTCTGTGTGTGTGTGTATGTGTGTTTACTTTTTTGTTCTAACTGAGAGAAAATTCAATTGTTCCAATAGCCTTTGCTTGACTAAGGCAGCTAAAGGTGAAACATTAGCACTGCCGAGTGCTTGGAAAACATCATATAGAGGGTGGGACTTTTATTTCAAAAGCAAATATTCAAAGAAATTATATGAAAACGGATTTATGATAGGGCTATCTGCTCAAAATATGAGGACAAGTTGGACCTATCCAACAGTTCACAGGTTAAAGAATTAGAACTATGATAATGTCATTTAAGTGTTAGTTTATATGGATATAACCATTTGGAAAATGTTATATTGCAAAATGTTCTTATAAAAACAGCAAGTACATTACTGCTTCTAAGGGAAATAAATATATCCCCCTATAAATGTTACGGAATGCTTGCCATTAGTAATGCACGATAATACATTTTCAGTTCAAGTAAGCAGCTACTGGTAAACTAAGCTATTTTTCATTACATGCCTTTAAGCTGAGTTCAACCTATAGCAAAACTATCATTGGATTTTCTTGGCACAATTTATTCAGAGGAAACTTGTCTTTGCCTTTCCCTGAACTTAGCCTACAGCACCTAATATTCCTGGCAATCTTCCTTGCAAGCACTAACCAGACATAACCTTGATTATGGTTCTTACATGCAGAACCTAGTTCCTTCAGGGTATTTAGACTACTAAAGTGTATTTAGACTGCTGAGCTACAATCAATAATAAATTGATGTTATTCTGAAATACCTTTTCCCCCTTTAGCTGAATGCGGAGGACCATTCGATTTGTGGGAACCAAACACCACATTTAGCTCAATGAACTATCCAAACAACTACCCCAACCAAGCTTCTTGTAAGTAATTTTATATATTCATATGTTCAGAAGAATTTACAGACTATAAGCACAGCTGTGTAGTCCTGTTTAGTGCTTGTAAGTGGTGTGCATGATGTGACTCTACAATAATTATGTGTAAATAATGCAGCAAGAAGAATCCTTCATTCATTCATTCATAGGTTCTGTGGGTACAAACAACCCAAACTAATGATAGCAGTGATTAATTATTTGGATTTAGTCCACATGAACTGTGTAAGTAATATTCCCAGTTAATGCCAAGACAGTGATTATAGCAGGCATTGCTTTTTGCTCAGAGTAGGGAATAAAGTATCACTGTATGAACTAATCTGCAGTAAATGCTGGAAGTGAATGCTTTTAAATATGTTTGCCTTTTTAAACAATCTGTTTAATTTTTTTTCATGAACTGATTAATGAGTAATCTAGTATCTGATTGATAAAACTGACAACTTTTCTGTCCTTCAATTTACTTTCTAGGCATATGGTATTTAAATGCAGAAGAAGGAAAAAATATTCAACTTCATTTCCAGTATCTTGATCTGGAAAATATTTATGATGTTGTAGAAATGAGAGATGGCAGAGGACCGGATTCTTTATTTTTGGGCAAGTACAATCTACTTGCTTATATAATCTGATGAGATTAATTTCACAATTCAGCAGCAGATCAGTTGCACAACTTCAGCACTTTCCAGTAGCTTCTTCCTGCACAATATTTTCAGTCAACTGCTCCCACAGTCTACAGTCACTCTGGAACCTTTTACAGACACTTGAGCACATCCCCGGCCATTGTCAGTTTTACCATTGTCTTTCCCCCAGTCTAGATGACATTACAAACTTACCACAGCATACAGTTATATCTTGTCTTAGCAGACAGGTTCTTTTAATGAATTACATAGAGCCTTCGACGAACAGCATCACAGCACAAGGAGAGCAATATACACTGTACATGACTTCCTTATATACAATTCTATACAATTACACATAGCAATCTCTGATTGGTTTCGAACTCATCAACTTAACTCAGACCCAGGATTACATCATTCACAATCACCTGGACTAGGCCAGAACACATTCCCCAAATGATTCCCTATATACAGTTAATGCATGACTCAGCATTTCCAATAGAAGCCCATTAGCAGTGCATGACTCAGCTATATTACATTACAATACATTCTAAAACCTGACATAATCATACCCTATGATTGGTTGCTTAGGATGCTGTGTATGTTTAGCTTTGAGAAGAGGAGTTTAAGAAGTAACCTGATAGCTATTTTTAAATGGAAGGTTGATGGATATCAGTTAGGAGTACTTTGATTGTGTTTTCTTGCATGACAGGGGGTTGTATTAGATGGATTTTATCTACTCTTCCATCGGTATGATTATGTGGCAAATCATATAATAATAATAATAATAAGAAGAAGAAGAAGAAGAAGAAAAAGAAGAAGAAGAAGAAGAAACATTTCCTGCAAAAAAATATTCTTATATATATTTATAGCTATAGCTACTCACCAAGAAGCTAAAATGTCATTGAAATGAGCAGGAGAGTATACTTTGCGGTTCTATCTATCCCAGACTTAGTAATGTGCTTCCTATATTCTAGCATTTTCAGTAACAAGTATCCAGATTTGCAGGTGGCAATATTTTGCTGGGCATTTTCACAGATTTCACTGAAATATCCATGCCAATTGTTATATATTTAAAGATGCAAGTTTATGGATTGAATGTGTACCATCTGATTCATCAACTGAAGCTGAGACATTTTGTCAGTACCTTGATAGGTGACAAGCAGCCATCTCTGTATAATGTCGTGAGTTACATTATAGTCAAAACGTAGGGCAAAAACAGTACTGCAGGTACTAAAATATCAATGTATGCCATGATGCACCACAGATTTACAGTTTGTCAGTATTATGAGACAAGAATTCTTGCAACAATGTTTCACATTGTGATTTGGCAGGAATAACTGCACATATTTGATCAATCTGACTATAGTCAAGTCAAAACTGTAAAATAAATACAAATTCTGTTCTAGAAAATCTTCAGCATCATCTATATTTGGTGTGTATTTAATTTGTATCCGAATATTTAAAGAATTAAACAATGTTTTTTCAAGGCAAGTTTTAGAAAGCCATAGTCACTAAAAAAAACCCTTCTAAAATGGACCCATGGATCAGTGGGAGCTTCATAAGTGAATACTTATATAAACTTTGTCATTTTAATGGCTCTGCTCTTCCTTAGACTAATAAGAGGATCTAGGATGTAAGTGGATATACCATAGAAAAGGAAACCTGTCTCCATCATAAGCCAATATCTTATCTCTCCCCCACCCCCATTTTTAAATGCTAACACTCCACAAGTGTTTGAAATAAAACCTTTTGACACATGCCTAAAATATATTTCTGTCTTTCCCTAAGAGTAGCTGTATATACTGGAAAATCTCCAGTGCCAGATATATTCTCTACCACTCACCAGATGACAGTGCTCTTCATTACAAACAAATCTGGAACTAAACAAGGATTTATGGCCAATTTTACTACAGGATACCATCTGGGTATGCCAGGTGAGTTTCATACATGCCAAGATTTTTTCAAGTAAAATGGTGATGACAGATCCCTTGATTTATCATTCACAATCCATGTTTTTCTTGATGTCTCATGAGCTTACCAAAATGTCAGACTTTCTCTTTAAATTTAGAACTAGTTCAGTTCTCTATTCCATGGCAACCTTGTAGAAGATGATTCCTGTAGCAGAAAAGGAACAAAGAGTAGAGCCCTACTTCTTGATATATTCCTCTTGGAATACGTGCCCTGAAATTCTTTTTTCACTTCATCCTCCTAAACATGACAAAGAAAAAGTAACCGATGAAGCAAACACTAAATATGACATTTGTTAATTTGAATTTAAGAGAAATATAAGACTTTCACATTTCACAATTATACATAAAGCTATATCTTTCATTTACTTGCTTTGGTTCTATCTTATGGAAGTCTGAGGTTTGCAGTTTGGGGAGCATTATTTAGAACTCTCACCCAAAGGGTTCTAGTGCCTCGACAAACTTTACTCTCCACACAAGATTTAAACAAGGTAGTTAAAGTGGAATCATGATGGTGCAATTTGTACTGTGAAAGGCTCCCTGATGACTCTCTATAAAAATCCATCATTACTTATATAAATCATTTTTAATCTTCAAGTCTTTATGTGATGATATCACATATACTATTGTTCAAACACAAATTGCCTTATATGAATGTTGGGATACTATCCAATTAACATAGTTACTGCTACACATTCAAAATATCTAACCTCTGTAGACAAGGCTTATCAGTGTAGAGAACAATCAAAATTGTTGCATTGATCATGGTGTGTTTTTCTCCTTTATTTTATAGATCCATGTGAAGCGGATTATTATCAGTGTGGTAATGGAGAATGCATACCAAAGGCTCATGTTTGTGACCAAGTTCAGCACTGTAAAGATAATTCTGATGAAGCTAACTGTGGTAAATATTTTCTTCCATTTGGGGAGCACTATTTAGAACTCTCTTTAGAACCCAAAACAAACTTACTACTTCTAATACAGGATGTATTCTTTCGTAAGGCAAAAATTAATTCAGAAACAGGAAAGATACCTTCATATTTGTCTATCATTCCAGCTGAGAACCATTGTTCACAGGCTTCTCTTATGTATGTATGAGGAAATAAACAAGAAATATACAGTTTTTCCATCTTGCTTGGTGAAGTATTTTTAAAGCAGTTCAACCAAATATCTACCTTCCTCCAAAAATGGAAGAATCATAGAAACCATTGTGAAGTCCCTTTTCTTACTCCACTCCATCTTATGTACAGATCACTGATTAGAAAACCATTGTGATAATATATTGATCCAAGCTGACCCTGCAGTTCCAACTTTGGGGCCTTTTTCCCTCAAGATCTCTTCCTGGAGAGATCTGGTACTTGGTCCCCAAGATGATTACTTGTTGTTGCCAAGTAACAGTGTTGATCAGTGGGTTCAGTGTGGTAAAGCACGATCACAGAATCATGCACAGTTGCAGAAGATAAAACCACTAGAGATTTATAATGTAATAATTACATCTCTCCATATCCTATTTGGATCTCATCAAGTCCTTTCTTCCTTAAGTGGTCTTCATCTGACTGCCCTGACTCATTCATTTTTATAGATAAGCCTTTCCATTAAGATTTTTTCCCTCTTGTAAACCCTCATTAACAGTATCTCATGAGCTATGATTGGCTGCTTTTCCCAGGCTTGTTCCATTTTTCACTTCAAAGCTAATTCCACTGAAATTTAGCTTCCTCTGGTCAAAATCTTTGAGATGTGAATTTATTTCGTCTTTGCATCAGGTTGTGAATAGTCTAGCTAAAAGTTTACACTTGCAAGTTCACATAGAGTTATCCTAGAGGTAGTAGTTTGTTTGTTTTCTATGTGCATTAGTCTAACATATTCATATTCCCAGTTTTACCTACATGAGCCTTTTTGTTCATAATATCCTACTAAAGTACACATAGCATAAGCTAAAAAAACAAGAAAGAGAGGGAGAGAAAATTGCATTCCAATTTGCGTATTATATTGGAAAGAGAACATACATTCTGATTTGTGTCTTAGTTTAGAAAATGCAATTAAAATATGAACTATATTTTTTTCTTATTCCCTAGTCTAATTTTCTTTAGAATGCTTGTGTAGCTTTAGTTCCATTGGAATGAAAGAATGAACTGCTGAAAACTGCAGTTTTGTATGCAGAATCTCAATCTTCAACATGAGGCCTCCTTGCACTCCTGGGACTTGTGGAGTTCCTGTCTGTGCAAACTCTTGTTTATTCATGTCAGTATTTTCTCAAAAAGTATACATTTTTAAGGTTACTTTCAGGAAAATTAGTTTAAGATCAAGTGAAAGCCAGATAAAAGTGTCTGACAGGAGCATAAAACAGCTGCAGAGAGCAGCATTTCAGCTGTTTCACAAACACATATGCGTGTTACTTTGACAACAATGACAGCTGTTGTCACAGCACCATCTGTGGAGGTAGTTATTTCCAAAATTAAATGTTCCATACACAGTTCTGTTTCACATAAAACAGAAATAATAGTCTCTGTACAACCATTTATATGCAGAACTGATGTTAAAATGATGCTAGAATCTGTTGGGTTTTTTTTAATGAAATAACTCTGACAGACAAAAACTGTCTGGCACAATTGTTTCTGTGGGTAGATATTTAGATTTGGATTATGTTTGATAAATCATAACTGTTAGTACTGACACCCTTAGAGATCTGTTGCAGGTATCTTCGACTTCATCACTAGCAATATACTGTATGTTTTCAGAGACACGATACAACTCTAATACATCTTATCCAGCTGTATTTATTGAAGAGAGAAAAATGCTTTCTTCCCTTTCATTTTCATAACAAAAACCAGAGAGGCTGGTATTATTTCAACATTTGTACTTGTTATAATGTAACTAGTTAGAGCTGTCAGGAGGTCTGACGTAGAGCAGTCTGTTACCCCCTATGATACATCCATGGATTCGTTTGGTCACACAGAATGAAGTTCTGAGCCTTTCTGACACTAACTCAGTTACGTTGCCAGATGTGTTTTTCCTCTTCTAAATTAATACATACATTGTATGTTTTCGTATGTATTACCTTGGGCTTGGTCCTGCTCCAGAACTAATTGGGGAAATACATAGCATTGGCTATTCTAGTTGTCCCTATATTGATCATGGTCTATATAAATCCTTCTGTCCACATGATTCACCTCACAGTGGGATTATTACCTCATACAAAGTAAAGTACCCACTAAGAGTTAAGAAGAGACATCCAGACCCATGCAGTACGGAGCAACCATGAAGCTGGATGGAGAGAAATGAATGATATATAGTTTTGGTTACAAACCTCAATCATATGTAAATAGATGAACAGTTCAGTCAGTAGATCAACTTACAGAGAAGACCAGGTTTGAGGATGGCTTTCTAAACAAGTTGAAAGAGAGAGAATATAAATCTTTTGATTAATAGGAGTGTGCAATTTTTTCGTTAGTTATCGTAAGTCGTATCAGATTTGTTAAATTCATACTTACAACACAATATCAAATGTGCCAAAACCTTAAAATTCAAAATTTACCCAATACTATTTCATTTCTATTTTGTAAATCTCTAAAGCCTCCCAAAGTCAGTTTCATTTTCAACACAAAGAAGCAAAGCAAAGCCAAAAAGGCTGCCTTTTCTCTTTAAATTAATGACCTCTGAGACTGAAAAAGCACAGAATTCTGTGAAATGTAGTTTGGGAAGATGAGGAGCCCTATGCCAGAAAATTCAAAAGACCCTGCCCTAAACTACATTTCCCAGAATTCTGCTCAGCCTCAGAAAGCCGCTATCAGGATAGGGGAGAGCTATTTTCCCTCTGAAGCAGCAACCAGCCAGAGTTCCAATAAATTGTTGAATCTGCAAGGAGGAGGACTGATATTTCTAGTAAATCAATCTCTGTGCTGGGCTGGGAAAAATCTCTAAATGAAAATTATTTTGGTTAGTATGAGAGGCGTTCAATGATATAGCTGCTGTGGTTTAAAAAGAAACATTTTTATCAAAACTTTTAAATTCCCTAACATCACTATATGGATGAATATTTCTGGAAGTTGGGTCATTGTGTGGAAAATTCAAGGAGACAGAGTTTATAGGTTTCTTAAAAACAATGTTGTTTATAAAAACTTGAAGAGCTAACAGTGGTAAACGTGTTCTACCATTGTAGCAAGTTTCACCCCAATAGCTGTCAAAATCCCTACTTGCACAATTTCTATAACAAAAAAGTAATAACATTTCATTATTCTCCTTATAGTAATGAAAGTTTTATTAACAATACTTTAGAAACGAAATGCCAGCATCCCATAACTTTGGAATGACTTTTGAAACATTTTTTTAATTCATTGCACATGCCTAATACCTAAATTTTAGCTTTCTCAGATTCTCATGTAAATTATCTGTATTGCAATGTCAATCTTTTACTCTGACTTGCTGTTTTGCCAACAGTGCGCTTAGTCAATGGGTCTCTCAGCTTAAATGGGTTACTCCAGCTCAAGGCCGAGAATAAATGGTACACAGCTTGTGGAGATAACTGGACTGAACAACTGTCACACAGTATCTGTCATTGGCTGGGACTAGGGTAAGTAACGTTATTTGATACCTAAATTTTGTGTTTTACCAAAGAATGATGTGCAGCAGAAAATATGGGCAACTTTACACAGGCAATTTATTCACATCTGATTGTCCAGTGAGTACAAGCAATGCAGTGACTATGAAAATGTAGCACTACTGCTTTGAGAAAAAGGAAGAACAGGAATTTAGAAAAAACATTAAAGTTTCAAGTTCCATTTTTATACTTGAATGTATTTAACTGCACAGAAGGTTACATTCAACTTGCCCAACAACACTAAATTGCCTTTAAAAACTGTTTAGTCAAATCATTGCACATCCTTCCTGTTCTTTCTGAAAGGTATAGCTCAGAATTCAGATAGTTTCTTCTGTTTTAAAATACACTTTGGAATGATACTGAACTCAACTACTATAACTCCAATGCTACAATAAAACCATCCCCCTTAAGATTACCAAAAGAGTTATTTTGTCTCTTTTTGTCCCTAGTAATGTCATATACATTTCCCAGTAATAATGAATACAGTAGAGTTCCAGTTAACCGAGCTCCGCTCATCCGAAACTCCATGTTAATCAATGCCATCATGTGGCCGATTGGAAACACTGCACCCTTTGATATGAGCTCATGAGAGCAGCTTTCTTTCCCATGCGGGAGAAGGGGGGGGGGGAAGCAGCATCTCCGAAGCAAGGGAAGGGAGGTGAATCAAAAGAGAAAGAGGAATGGGAGGAGGAAAAAAGGGAGGGAGGAGTGAAAAGGGAAATGCAATGGCTCTCCTCTCTCTCTCTCTCTCTCTCTCTCTCTCTCTCTGTCCTTGGTGCAACCAGAGCCTTGCTCTCCTGCTTTGGAGACTTCTCTCCAACCCAGCCTTGTTTCCAGATGGAAGGGGGGAAGGGCTCATGGCTGTAAGGAAGGAAAGAGGGGAGAGAGGCCTTGTCACCTTGGTGGGCAGAGGATTCCCCCTTTCTTCCTGCACACATACAGACACACACACCTTGCTGCAGATCCTCTCTCTCTCTCTCTTCTCCCTTCCTTTTCCTCCCCCATGTGCTCTTTCTTCCTCCTCCTCCCTCTTTTACTTCTGACATCCTTGCAGCAACTTACACTTCTGGTCTCCTCCTCCTTCTCTTCTAACCTAATCCTAGAAACGCACGAGACCCCCTTCCTTAAGAGGCTATCCAGTCCCTCCAAACAAAGAGCCACCCAGCTCCAGATGAGATTCTGGAAACAGTTGACCAACAATAGTGTTTAGCAAACTGTTTTTCCAGTGTTGCCATTCCTCTATTCTCAATATGGGATTCTAGAGACAGGTAATCTACAGTATATGAGTGTGTTCCCAACTCTGGTCCTCCAGGTGTTTTGGATTTCAAACATGATGCTTTGGTACTTAATTGGTAAAATTATAATGTCTTTTCCTTAATCCCTCCAACATTTTCACTTATCCACAATTCTGCCAGCCTGTTTATGTTGAATAAGTGAGACTCTACTGTATATTCAATCTCCCATTAAAGCCAACAAGACCTACAAATGCTCTGCTTGAGCTTTATTCACCATAGCTCAGTATCACCACGTATAGGGTTAATAAAACTCAGCAGCAGCAGTAGTAGCAGCTTTTAAGCAGGCAGATATTCAGTTGTGATTTATGGGCAAGCCATGCTTTCTACCTTCCCCTTCCCTACGGAAAAAGAATCACCAATGCTCAAACCGAATATGGCTAGTTTTCATACAGTAATATGGAGAAAGAAATCAAAGGGTCCATATCTTTTCTCAGCATAATCCTTGTTGATAATGACTCAAGTTTGAAAATCTGACTGTTAAGGAAAAGAGAAAGGCCAAGGTTAGCACTGTGGACAAGTGTCAGTTAGCAGGCACCAAGCATCCCCATGCTTGAAATGCTGGAAAAGGACAAAATGTATTGCATTATTACATTAATAGCCACATTCTGCTCATCCTGTGTGAAGCCTGCTGCTTCCATGCATTTCAGCAGCATGCAAGAAGAAAGTCAATCATGAAATCTAAGAAGATGAAAAAAAGAAAAGATCTGTTAGGTCATTCAGTCATCTTTCTGCTGAGTGATGGATTATTATCTATTGAACTACCCACAGTGTATTTCTGCAGTGCTGAATACATCCTAAAGCATGGATTACATGGTAGAGAAACATAATCCCATTGGTGGTGTGGGGGGAGAATTCGTGATACATCTCTGTATTAATGTTGTCTGTATGATTTGTGTCTTGGATATATTTGGTTCTAGATAACACCATACCACCTTGAAAACACCCAATCACATCTGATTTAAGAAGCACATCTAGACTGACCACTGAAGTCAGTTTAAACCAGTATTCAAGACAGTTTTTATTGTGCAGATGATTACATAGAAAATTCTAGAACCAATTGGAGGACTGCATGATGATTGTACAAACTACAGAGCACCGATGCACATTAAAAGCCTTCTGTCATGTGCATTTGTAGGAGTTTGTCTGGCCACTATAATGTGAAACTAGGTGTTTCAAACTGCATTAAATGGCAAAGTTGGGCCTTTTTTCTACTTAGAGGGAAGTACCAAGAGTAAGTAGGGATAAGTAAAATAAAAACCTTGGCCAAATCCTGGAATACTTCTTCTAAAAAGACCTTAAATGCGGGGACAGAAGGCCCAATTATTTGATTCACTATAAAACACCTTCCTATTCTCCTCCTTTCCCTCCCCCTATTTTTTTGTGTTTCTGGTGTTTATGTTTGACATAACATGTTTCAAACATTGTTTCCTCTTGTAGCAGTGTGAATAGATCATCTACTATCTTGTTTGATGGATATGGCCCTTTTGTAGAAGTTTCAAAAGCAATCAACAACAGTTTAATCTTAACACCACAGTAAGTATTCAAAGGTACTGACTATGATAATTATGAAGAACTGGAATTATGCTAGTATGCGTAGTAGATACTACACCTATAGTTATTGTTCAAAGCTATGGTTCCTAACTATTAAACATTTCAATGGGAAACATATTGAAAGCATCACAGATTTTCCAGGTGTACGAAATGATGTTTGTGTGACCTATCCATTAGTCTACTTAGTATATCAGGTATTGATGTAAGTTCACACAGGAATGACATGAATACAACTAACAAATAGAAAAAACTGATCATTCAACCCAGACTCATCCTGCCTTTCCTATATAATTACTCGGGCCATTCAGGACAATTTTACACCACCCTGCTGCTGTTTCATACCAACCCAGTTATAATCTATAATGCTGCCAAGTTCTGTGCAGCAGTACTTGAAATCTGCCGAGTGATGACTGGTTCCAAAAGTTAACAATCAGCTAACTTAAATGTAAATCAGTTCTTCCCACCCTAGTCCCCTAGAATTGTGCCCTAAATGCTCCTACCCCTCCATCAATCTCCCTACCTCTCCATTCCCTTCTAGTCCCTCCCCTTCTTTAAATAGTTTTTGTGCTTTAGCCTTCAACATACCTCTGTTTTCTAGGTTTTTAGATTTTAATGTACAATGATTTTATGAGACTGTACCTCACTCTCCTTATGCTGGTCTATGACTGTAATAAAGATTTTTGATTTGATTTGACTAGCTATGAATTTTTACAACAATGTGTCTGTCTCTGTCATTGTACCAATAGGAATTGCTTCAACCATGTAGATTACCAAAATATTGTTGCTGTTATAGCTATCTAGTGCAAAACTATCCCAATCCAAACATTATGTATAGAATTGGTTCAGTTTGAAAATCTCAAATTGAAATTTCAAACTCTTTATATGTGTGCAAAGAACAAGATTATGTAGAAGAATTAATCCAGGGTTACTTTTCTTCATTGTTACTTGTTTAAGGGAAGAGTAGGCATGGAAATAATATTTTAAAATATTTTAAATGTGATTAAAATGCTTTTGTGTGTTGCAGTATCCTGTTAAAAAGAATCATGGAGTGATGAGAATCTTCACAGTTTGGGACTTATTCTGTACAAAATTCACACATAGCTGTTTTGCACAGAAAGCAACTTTTTTTCTTTTGGAATTAATGTTACAAAATAGAACTATTAATTACTGTACAGAAAATGCTATAATTGGAGAAATCTTCTGAATAACATTAACATGGGTGTTTTACATAGAAAATAGCATTTTCCCTTTAGAAAACTGCATTTTCTACACAGAAAAGGATATTTTCACACTGAAATATTTTCCATACAAAACAACCACCGACAAAAATTATTCGTTGTTGCAAAAAAGCAATTACATTGATAAGTAATGGAAGAAGTGAAGAATTGTATGCCTGGAAAAGAGGCCTCAAGTTTATTTCTACAAGATTGATATTTCCTGGTGGAATGACCTATGAATGCTTGGTTATCTACAGTAAACCCAAATGCAGGGAGGGGAAGCCATGAGATTCAACTTTTTGGCATCTAAATAACACCTGAAGTAAAACTTAAAATAACTTTTCTGCGGCATTAAGAAAGTCAGGAAAATACAAATATAGGCTATCAATTAAGGAAGCAATGTTATATTTTCCTTTTGTGTAATTGTACTATATTTATCTTGCAGTGTTTATCTATGATGCATTATGAGACACCACTGAGCCTCTAGAGCAGTGTTTATCAACCTTCCTAATGCCGTGACCCCTTAATACAGTTCTTCATGTTGTGATGACCCCAAACCATAAAATTATTTTTGTTGCTATTTCATAACTGTAATTTTGCTACTGTTATGAATTGTAATGCAAATATTTAATATGCAGGATGTATTTTTATTCACTGGACCCAATTTGGCACAAATTTCTGATGTGCCCAAATTTGAGTACTGCTGGGGTTGGGGGGTATAGATTTTGTGCTTTGGGAGTTGTAGTTGCTGGGATTTGTAGTTCACCGATATTCAAATAGCATTCTGAGCTCCACCAACAATGGAATTGAACCAATCTTGGCACACAGAACTCCCATGACCAACAGAAAATACTAGAAGGCTTTGGTGGGGACTGACCTTGAGTTTGGGAGTTGTAGTTCACCTATATCCAGAGAGCACTGTGGACTCAATGATGGATCTGGACCAAACTTGGCACAAATACTCAATATGCCCAAATGTGGACACTGGTATAGTTTGGGGAAAATAGACTTTGACATTTGGTAGTTGTAGTTGCTGGAATTTATAGTTCACCTAGAATCAAAGAGCATTCTGAACCCCACTAATGATAAAATTGGGTCAAACCTGCCACACAGAACCCCCATAACCAACAGAAAATACTGTGTTTTTCCTGATGGTCTTTGGCGACCCCTCTGACACCCTCTTGCAACCACCCCCCGGGGGTCCTGACCCCCAGGTTGAGAAACGCTGCTCTAGAGCTCAGTGATATTGCAGGCTAATGAAATATTCCTCAAGCCATTGGGTCACAGAAATGCTAGAATACATTGGTCTTCTTTTGCTGTCCTGACATCTTTTTTTCTTAGCTAAGGGTTTGTAAAGCAGCTAAAAATAGATAAAATAGATATGACAAAACAAAGCTATGTCTCTGAAAATATCGATTGTTTTCTATCAAGCTAACATTTTTAAATCTGTGGTCACACTGATCTCTAGTGGCAAAAGTTTGTGTAAACATACAGAAGGAATACTGTTTCATTATAATATAATATATGGAGCATTTTGAAATGAATCTCTCTCCGGTACATGATCATGGAATCTTTTGTTTGTTTGTTTTTAAATTCTCAACAAAACATAGATTGTTGTTAAAGATCTGATCGTGTGTTTAATAAAACATGAAATACATCTGTTGAGCAACTTTGCATCACAGTATCCTCCAAACATCTAAAGGGGGTTTGTTTTGAATGCACTCTCCTGTAGCTTTAAATCTAATGTTACATAGTTATGTGGCTTGTTTTCAAAAATTCTCCCAAAGTTATATCTGGCAAATAAGGTCTGCGAAGAGTGATCTTCCCTTGATTCCTTGTTTAGTAAAGAGTGGAGAGAGAGGAAAACATGTTATAATGAGAAGGGTTGAGAGAGAATATTAGCAAGAGAAAATGAGTATTTATATATTTTCAAATAAGTTTTTATTGAGCATTTTCCAATTTTTTTAACACAAAAAGAAAAACAAAAAGAGGATGAGGGTAGTGGAGTTCTTGTTAGTCAATTAGATACAAATATCTACTATATTGCTGAGAGGGATGGGGTTGGGGGGGGAAGGCTTGTATTTGTATAAGTATTACATCTATGTCTTCATTTTAATTCCTATTATACTCACTGTCTAAAGTATTGAAAATTCCATATATTCTCAATAACAAAAAAGAACATACTCTTGTCATCTTATGTTAAAACTGGTAGTCAGGTCTTATGTTGTCCCATGTTCCTTCTGCCTTCTTTTCTAGATCTTTACATTATCTACACTTTTGACCTCATTGACTATCCATATAAAATTCTTGCTGAATTTTCTATACAGAAATCCAGCCATGAATAAAGAAATATTTTCTTATAAATGGCCAGAAAACACCTAAAATATTATAACTGTATTCTTATTCTAGGGCACAATGTCTCAATAATTTGGTGATTTATCTGCAATGCAACAATAAACGTAAGTGTTTTTTAAAAATCAATATTCAAGTCAGAAGGACTGCTCATTTGTCAGTAACTATGATAACAGTAAGATTTTCATAGTAATACAAGTTTAACAGAGTGTAGCCCATCTTGGTATAATTATTAGGTATCTAAAACTGTACATTTTTAATTGTAACTTTTCCGGGGTTTTTTATCTTCATAGAATGTGGAGAAAGATTAATCACTCAGAAACACTCAACAAAAATTGTTGGTGGCTTTGATGCTCAAGGAGGTGCTTGGCCTTGGATTGTCTCATTAGATTTCAATGCCAGACCATCTTGTGGAGGATCTCTTGTCAGCAATGAATGGCTGGTCTCTGCTGCACACTGTGTATATGGGTAATGTTTTATTTTCATCATTTTATTTATAAATCTCATTTCTTTATCCTCACAGATTTTATTTCAGGATTATCATAATCATGAATATCTCTGTTAGCACTACTGACCTGACTTCTGTCTTGTGTATAAAGTAGTTCCAGGGTTTAATCTATGTAAATTTGGCCATGACATCTTCTAAGTCCCTCTAATAGTCCTTCCAGCCTTTGCCATCACAGGGAAAGACAATAATAACCGGGCGTCCAAGTACCATTCCTTTGTTATTTAATATTAGCCTATACCAAAATACTTCAAAAAGTTTTTGATACTCATTGTCAAGCTCTTGACACAGCTAAATTCTCAAACTAAACAATATAGAAGTTTAGTAAATCATGTTTTGACAGAGATGCAAACAGGAATCATTTTCCTAAGGATCATATGATGATGTGTCACTGCATTCAATCAATATTAAAATGAAAAACTCAATAGACTTATGGCTAGCAATTTAGCTGCAAGCAGTTTCTCATAAAGAAACTCATATCACTTCTAATAAAAGTTGGCTAAAATCATTCATCTGATCTTTCTTTGATTTGATGCTGTCAACCATGGCACCTTGGTGTGACACTCTTATTAAAAATAGACAATAAAGTACAATTTCCAATAGGCAGAGATAAGGTGTATATTTTTATTCTGCATACTAGAGTGCAAAAAGAAATGTGTTATGTCATCTGATAATAATAATAATAATAAAAAAACTTTATTTATATCCCTCCTCATCTCCCCAAGGGGTTTCCCAAAAGTTAATTCAATGTTGAGGTTTACCGTAATTTTTCAGATACATTTCTTCACTTCTCCCATGTAAGTACATTAATGTTCTATAGATTTTTCTAGGAAATTGGTAGTCTGATTTATTTACTTATTATATAATATTGTAAAATGAGCATGATAGAAAACAACACAGTCCTATTTTCTAACTGATATGCATGCAGTAATTAGTACGTTGCAACAGAGAGAACAAACACTAATAACTTTTCTTGGTCTCACAGATGCTTATCTGTTTTAGGTTGCTGATGTTCTCAATTTTCTTTAAGACTACTCTGCTTAGCAGAACCTAAGCAAAATTGTATCTACAAATTCAGACAGTTAGTATTTGATGAAACCGCATGGGAAGATGAGTAAATAGGGTGTTAATGGTTTTGAAGTTGTAAATGGCTGCTAAAATGGCATTAAAAGCCACTACAGAATGATGCTTCTGCATAAGGAAAAGTGAGTGTGGAGTGAGATAAAGTTATTTTAACTAGATTATACACTGATAAAATGCAAGACTGATTAGTTCAATATCCTAAATACAACAGATCCCATTTAACCTGGAAGCTAAGTAGGGTCAGCTATTATTAATACTTGGATGGAAGATCACCACTGAATACAATGAATACAAGGTGCAATAAGCTATATTTCAAAGGAAATAAATTATTCCTTGCATAAGAAACCTCTGTGAAAATTATTGTGTCACGATAAATCAGCAGGAAACTTGAAGACACATGTACACCAAATGCAAGTCTGGAAAGATAACTCACAAGTCTTGGATTAAATGAAATTACCTTGAAAAATTCTTCCAGTGCTCATTTTAAGAGAGTGATGCTTTTCCATGGTAAGACATTGTGAGTGAGGCAATAAATTGAGGCAATGTGATGATAGTGCAACTACTTTGTAGGACACCTTCACCTACCATTACTTCATTTGAAGGAGGACTATGCTGAGGGAAGGAGTGAAATTCATGAGATTGCAGGCACTGCTGTTGCTAATACAACAGCTGAAACCATTTTTGTGGCCTGGACATGAGAGAGTAGAGGAGGAGGAAGCAAACTTTTAAAGGCAAAATAATATCTTGAACTAGCCACATTGAGGGACCTGGCTCTCTCCCTTGAATCAAACCTTAGTTCTGGAGAAGGTTCACAGTTAATCTTGCAAGTCTGAGTTTTTCCCATATACTGTACATCTATATAAATAAAAATGTAATGTTCGTTTGTGGGGTTAACATAACTTAAAAACCACTGGACGAATTGACACCAAATTTGGGCACAATACATCTATCAGGCCAACAAGTGACCATCACTCATAAAAACACTGAAAATACAGCAGAAAGGACTTTTAAAAGCCAAAAAAGCCAAAAATATACTACAGTGCATGCACAAAATGACCCCCCCAACAAACAAAACACACAATAGCATATCCACACTCTCTTCCAGACTACAGCTCCCAGCATCCCCTAGACCAGGCCCTTTAGGAGAGGAGGATGATCCAAATGCACTGCTTCCAAGCTGCAAACTTTCTTCTCCTTGGATTTCTTTGAGAGCATCCCAATCCCTGCATATTTCTAATTTCCTATTCCTGGACTGCAACTCCCAGCAATTCTCCAGATAGATAGATTAGATAGAGAAAGGAGGACTGCTGGGAGTTGCAATCCAAGTATAGGGAGAGAAGGAAAAAAGGGGAGAAGAGGAAGGGAACGAAAAGGGAAGGGAAAGAAAAGAGGGAGGGAAGGAAGGAGAGAAAGAAAGGAAAGAAAGAAGGAAGGAAGGAAGGAAGGAAGGAAGGAAGGAAGGAAGGAGGAAGGAAGGAAGGAAGGAAGGAAGGAAGGAAGGAAGGAAGGAAGAAAAGATGGAAGAAAGAAGAGAAAGAAAGTAGGAAAGAAAGAGGGAGGGGAGGTTGGCCACAGCAACGTGTGGCGAGTACAGCTAGTAAAATATATTATAGTACAACCCTTTCTTGTGGAACAGAAGGCAAGATCTTTATTAAAGTAATTTGAGATTATTTGTCGGATGCATCATCTGCATTTAAAATTTTTTCCATTGCCTGCTTTAAGATATTGCTAGCAGTGTGAGAAACAGCATTGGTAGGAAAAAATTGAAGAGAATACCAACATCCTGCAGGTGCCATTTACACATACATTCCTTGCAAATCCTTCTGGAGCAGAAAGCAATCAAAGCAATTTGTGCACAGATGCATTGAGTACATAAGCAAAATGTGTGTGTGTACATGTGCCTTCAAGGTGACCCCATTAATTACATCAGGTTTTCTTCAGCATGGGATACCCAGAGATTGTTTTGCCAGTTCCTTCCTCTGAAATATAGCCTACAGCACCTGACATTCATTGGTGGCCAAATTACACAAAGCTTTATTGAGAAGAAAATCCTTGACTTTTAAAATATCTTCTTCTGTATTGAAGTCCTGTTAGCTTACTTTTATAAAATGCTCATCAGCATTGATCAGATAGGTTTTGCTAAAGCTTTCCACAAAACATAAAAGAAGTTATCTCTCATAATGTGTCTAATATATTCCAGGCTATTGCCTAAAATAGAGGTAAGCTTTGTGATTATTCAACTTACATGCAAAATCATATTTCATCAGTTCCCATATGGGATGTAAGAAAACAACAAATGATTAATGTAAAAATATCCAAATACTATGCCAGCATAAGTGTTGTTGCTTCATCCAGAATCAATTGAGCATCTTCATTACCCATCCAGTATGCTGCCAGTGGTCTGATTTGGGGATGATATCATGTCTTGGAAAAGATGCTGCCACAGTAAACAGCCAGTACTGAGGTGATGCGAGAGTTCCTGACTGCAGTGGTTGACACTACCAGAGGGGCTGACATCAAAATTACAGTCTATAATTTTTTGTTCATGTTTCAACATAAATGTATTTACTATAAAAAATATTTCATTTTTATGAGCTCGTACTATATGTCTTCTTTTATATAACTAGAAGGCTATACCTTCTGCCAACCTAGCAGTTTGAAAACATGTTAGATCAATAGGTACCACCTCAGCAGGAAGGTAACGGTGTTCCATGCAGTCATGCTGGCCACATGATCTTGAAGGCATCTATGAACAATGCTGGCTCTTTGGCTTAGAAATGCACTGTAGATGAGCACCACCCTCCAGAGTCAGACACAACTAGACTTAATATCAGGGGAAAGACTTTACCTTTACTAAAAGGCTAAAGCTCTATACTAATTTACTTTTTGAACCTTCTAATTCACATACACATGGTCAGGTCTGTCATTCTTGCCCAATTATAATGTAGCTTCTTCCTCCAAAATTCTGTCTCAACTTGGCGTGCTTCTGAACTCCTGACAGATCTAGCCCTCTGTCCTGTACTGTGTTAAAATGAGATTGTGTCTCGACACCATAGTGAGTATATGACTCATGTCCACATTCTACTGTTGAAATTCCATTGTGTAATATCATGAGCCTTGTTGCTTAGTAAGTATATCAAGTATCTTGGCCAACACAGTTATCTTTCAGAAAACTCTTCATTGCCTTAAATAATCTAAGTACTTCATCATACTAGAGAATGAATCCACTTTAAATCCGGTTTCTGTTTCCTGCAGAATTCTATTTTTTGTCTGTTTGTTTGTTTAGTGAGGCTGTTAAAGGCTCCTCCCTAAACTACAAACCCCAGAATTCAGCTGGAGGCAGCAATCAGATTTAAAGTAGATTCATTCTCTATTGCAATTAGATCCTAAGTTCATCTTTTCAAAATCTACTTAAATATTAAATCACCATACAGATATTAGGTATATCCCATAAATGTGGTTCTGGGCACTATAGAGTTCCATGAGAGGAAGCAAAATTTGACTTGAAAAATTAAGCCATCATGTGGCATTCAGCAGTAATTCTTATCTTTCTCTACTAATCAATGGGCATCATACCCAGTGAATTCAATGGTAGTGTGCCCTATCAGTTCAGAGTTCATTTTGGCATATTGCAATGTAGTGATGCTGAAAACTGCTTTGTAATTCAAGTAAATTTTCTTTAAATAAATGAGCTGGTTAAATTCCAAAATTCAGATTTCATTTTTTGAAGTGTGTGTGTATGTGTGTGTGTGTGGGGGGGGGGGCGCTTAAGTTTAAAAAAACCCAAAATTTAATATCACAAATTACTCAGTTATTTCATACAATCACAGTTAATTCTGATTCAGAATATTCATTGTAATCCCCAGGAGGAATATGAAACCTTCTCAGTGGAAAGCAGTGCTTGGCATGCATAACAATCTGAACCTGTCAAGTCCTCAAACAGTCATCCGAGAGATTGATCAAATTATCATAAATCCCCATTACAATAAGCAAACAAAAGACAGTGACATCGCTTTGCTGCATCTCCAATTCACTGTGAATTACACAGGTATGACCATTTTCTTCTATATTTTTCTCTTTTTCTGGTGAATGAGTTTAATTGTAAGTCTGAAACAATACCAGAAATTTAAAACATTGAATGATCAAGGAGTAAATCTAGTCCTCAGAAACTGACACATTCTGGGCTCTCTAAAAGGGATGGTTGAACAATTTCATTTCCATAAAATATGGGACACTAGAGCCTAAATCGATTGATATTTCTTTCTTTACTTTTTTTACAGATTACATCCAACCCATTTGCTTCCCAGAAAAAAACAGATCATTTTTGCCAGGAACACACTGTTTTATTGCTGGCTGGGGAGAAACCACACATCATGGTGGGCCACTGTACTCTGTACAAACTTTCTTTCATTATTTTTGGTATTTCCTGATGCAATCAATGCAAGACCTCTTGCAGACAATGTGTATTTCTGTTTGAATAGAGGGCACATCCATATTGTCCAAATGCATGTTGCCTAGGATTCTTTTTAAAAAACAAAACCAGTATGACATACTGTATAAGTCAATTTTATGTATACATGGAGACAGGTTTTGATATGCCTTGTGGCTAAGCTGAGGGCCATTCTGGGGAGAACGGAAAGTCCCAGCATTGCCACAATGGACAGATGCCTTTGGCAATAAATGCTGTCATTTTCCCACCAAGGATTTTGACAAGGCCAGGATGAGTGCCACAGAGAGTAGAGCTTACCTCCGTGCTGGCCCTGTTCTTGTTAAAGAAACACGGGAAGCCCCATCTGTTCTCTGGGCAGCATCCCAGGATCTAACAGAATATTGAGAGTATTGTATGAGTATGAATATTGAGAGGGCATAACCCTGCTGGAAGTAGCTATGTGTCATCTGATGGGATCCGGCAGGCTCTGTCCTCCCAGCATCCTGGATGCTTTGTCAAATTGTCAAATGTGATGTGGTCCTTAGTCACACCTCCAGCAGGAAAAAAAGAACTGATGAAACTGATGATATTTAGGGCATGAGTGTTGGAAAAATACATAAAATGGTAAATAGAATAGTTGGACATTTACTAGACTTATTTGGAGATCCAGAGGAGCCTTCATACACACAGAGACTATTATTCCAGAGATCCAACAAGTACCTTATGAAAGCATTTTTATCCAACTATCATTTACCTAGAATCCAAAATTATATTTTCATGAATGACAATACCTAGAATTCACCTTCTAGCATGCTCAAAGAAGCATACAAAATGGCTAAGAGTTCATATCAAGCAAGTAAAAAATCATTGGGAAATAGTCCAAAGGAGGTGGATGTTTTAAACACCCATATGTACTTTCCGTCTACTACAATAAGATTGGCAGGTTGTAATGGTTGGTTTTTTTAGCAACACATGAATTGTCCATATAAGATATAGTTTAACCCTAAAATATGCTAGTGAGGTGATAACCATATGCAAAGCACAGAATGGAATCTAAACCAGTACTAAGAAAATCACTATATAGCTAGATATAGTGCAAATACATATGACTGTACATTTCAATGATGCCTAGGAATCCCATCAAGATGAGTCCTAGGGACCATTGTTGGATCAGTTCTATAGCATGGGATATATGACAATTATTCAATTGCTGGCTGAAAATATATAGAATTTGGTCAAATTTATAGCATTTGTCTTCACTGTGGGTGACAAGTGTTTCCATTTTTCATAATGCATGAATAACTTATAGATGTTGTGAAAGATGCATTAGCTGTACTATGTCTTTATTTTGATATTTAATTGTATTTTATTAGTACAATGCTGTTATTATGTTCTATTGCTGTAATGTTCTGGTATATGTCAGGCATTGAATGTTTGCCTCTGTGTGTGTAAACCACCCTAAGTTCCCCTGGAGAGATAGGGTGGTCTAAAAATAAACTTGTTTATTATTATTATTATTATTATTGCAGAGCCCCCCCCCCCCCCATGACTGGCTTGGTAATACAGGCATTATGGGTTACCTATAGTACCGTATAGCGGAAATGCATAATGTTAATATGAATAAAAAATATTTATTGAACAACATGTTATGCATACAGGCTAAATCAACTTGTGTATTTCTGGATTTTAAGCAGGCTCGGTTGCAAATATATTACAAGAAGCAGAAGTCCCTCTTATAGCACGTAAGAAATGTCAGCAACTGATGCCAGAGTACGATATCACTGAAAATATGCTGTGTGCTGGATATGATGAAGGAGGAATTGATTCTTGTAAGGTAAATGGAACTAATTTGTTTTCTCTACTACAATACAGCTAATTATAGAGTGACTCAATGTTTATTTTTTTGACCATTATTTCTGATGCTAAACAGCATTGTGGTACTGATATATGAAAAGGCATTTGTTAACTTGCCAGCAGTTGAACCCTCTTCTCTAATAATTTCATCACCATCACTACCTCTGTCACATAGCTTTCATTTCTTGCAATTTATGACCTTGAATTTGCTCAGAGAAAAGCTACATTGAATAACATCTAGACCTCATCACCCAAGGGAACATAAAGCAACTACCAATATTATTACAGGCAATGAGCTACTGTCACAAACATAATGTTTCAAAGGATGCTTTGCCATCTAAGAAAGGCACTGTCTGTTCCCCCAGTGCTTACAAAAGCCCTTGTGACACAGCCTTCATGGAGGCTCAAAGAATTAAGCTGAAAGTTAAAGCTCTGACATAGCTTTCCTGTACTAATGCTGCACATAACTGACAGGCATCTCACAAAATGCTTAAGGCCATAACAAATGTCATTACGGCTTTGCAAATGGTTTTGTTTCTAGTAAAAGAAAAGATGCTCTGTAAGAATGTTTTAATTTTTGTTTGTCATTTCAGGGAGATTCTGGTGGGCCACTAATGTGTCAAGAAAATGAAAGGTGGTTGCTGGCTGGCGTGACATCCTTTGGGTATCAATGTGCACTGCCACATCGTCCTGGCGTCTATGTGAATGTTTCAAAATTTGTTGACTGGATAAAAAGGATCATTCATTAGATGCATCTTCCTTCCCCTGCTGAGAGCAACACGGGAAAACATTGAAGTTTTAAGGGCAAGGATGCATGTGAGGGTTAATATACTTTATTTCTTGGAGGGATCTGGCAAACATCAGATACTTCAGAATAAGTTAGAGTTGATCTCTGATGGGAATTCAGTTGGAGCCCTATTAGATGTTATAAGAGACGGAGCTTGGAATAGTTACTTTTTGAACTACTGCTCCCAGAATTATTCACTGGGGAATTTTAGCAGATGCAAACTAAAAAAAAAAATCACATTTCCATTATCTGGAAAAATGTGGCTGAGTAGTACTAAACTTCTGACTAGGATAATTTCACTAAGCTGAAATGTAGAAGAAAAAAGTGTTCACAACATAGTCCTATTTTTTTAAAAAAAATTAAGTTCCTTTGGCTTGCAAAACTGGATCCTACTATCACTAAAGAACCTTAAATATAAGGACAGGAATTCGTGCCATTCCATCTATTATCATATTGCAGATTTCATCATCCCTCACTATTATATATAAGGCCTAGGACTTATGGGACTTGTAACATAATATCAGAAATACCACATATTACCCACTCTGTTTAAATGGATGATTATTTGTCCAAATCATAACATAATCGAGTTGGAAGTTATCACAAGGGTCATTTAGCTCTATCCCTGCCGTTAAGGAGTACATAACAAAAGCTGTACTGAAAGATAGTTGTCCACTCTGTCATTGTCCTCTTTCCTACTGTCAATTGGCTGCTTTCTTGACTTCTTCAAATGTGCATAAAAAGTCATCATAAATTTAGGAAGCCAAGGGTGACTTCTTATTTCCAATACATGAAACAGAGCGAAATACAAGCACGAGGATGAAGATCCAAAGACCAGAATCCTTTGGTATACTGTACTATACAAGTACAGAAGAAAGAAGGCTATAGACACAGTGGCCAGGAAGGAAGGAGGACTTTGAGAAAATAAACTGCTCAGAGACAGTAGAGTCGGGTGTTGTTTTTCTTGCTGCCATTGTCCAGAGAGAGAAAAAATGTAGCTGCTGTTGCTGTGCACTACCATTGTGACCACGCTATCCCTGTCAATTCTTCTTGCTTTGATGCTAGATCATGTTTGTTTGTGCTTCCTCTAAGATAGCAGATCACAGAATGAGCCGATTTTTACACTCAGCATAATATTTAAAACCTAGGGTTTTTTTATGTATCACTATCTAAACTTTATTGCTTTTATTTCTCTCCAGTTTATCTGCCATGGACAGAATGATTTGTGCTGGCTTTGGATAGGCATATCAAAATACACCCATTTGCTAGCAAAACTCATTAGATTTCTTCCTGTATCTTTGCAGTTTGTTGTTACAGATGAATAGCACAACTGTCGTTGCTAATGTGGACCCAAATTAGAATAACATTAAAATCAATTCCCAAGGCAAACAAATCACTCTCTGCAGTCAATATTTTATCATTTTTTATGCAAAGATAAATTATTTTGTTACATTGTATATTTATATTAATTGAATTTACATTACATACATTAATGAGAAATGGTACAATATAAGAGGAAATAAACAAGAAAAAAATCAGATGTAAACTAGAAACAATTGTTCTAGAACTGACACATAACAGTAGACATATTCCCACATATATTCCAAATGCTCTCTCCATCTCATTACTACCTGTAGCAGAATCATTTTCCTTAGCAAAATAAATGCATTTTCCCTCTTTCAGAGTGCCATGTGTCACTACTGCATTAGAAAACAAACACTGCATATAAAAACGATCCGAGCAATTGCCTCAAGGGGGAGCTTCCAGATCATCTTGCTGATCCATTGCAATTTCAAGCCATTCCAAGCTAATATCTGACATGACATTATAAGATATCCTGAATGGAAAAGAGTCATTCCTTCTTTTTTAAAAGTCATTTATACCTCCATGCTACTTTCTTTCCTTGGATACTTAGAAATCCATAGTGTAGACTGGTCCGGACTGGTTTTTGTTCTTCCTTTACTGGAAAATTAAAAAGATAATGGTATGTTGTCTTACAGCACATCTATTGCTTTCATACATTCAGTTAAAGATGCAAAAGAGATGGATGATGGGGCCTCACAAAAAAAACTGCCAAGATTAAATATACGCCAGTTTTGCTGCTTAATTTGGCCCTCACTTTTTAAAAAGTGCATGTAATAACTGAAAGCAGACATCAGATTTAACCTGAAAAGAAGCATATTAAATATGTACATTAAAACTTTTATTCTATTTATATGATGCCTAAAGTCTGTTTCTTCTGCTAAAGTACTGACTGTAGTAACTGCAACTTGGACACTTTTTTCACATGGAACAAAAAGGTTTATTTCACATGTGTTCTGGGCTTTCATCCTCTGAGCAAACCATACCAATCTGTATGTACATCATAAAATAATAATAACAACAACAACTTTATTTTTATACCCGCCTCCATCTCCTGGAAGGGACTCGGGGCGGCTCACAAAGGGACATGCCCAACAAAACAGGTTAAAATAAACATCGAAATACAGCAATTTCAAACATCAATAAACATAAAATCAGACAACATTATAAAAACAATTAAAAGCAATATCACGGCCGAGCAAACAAAGTGCTGGGTTAAAATTAAATACTATTAATAATAAGAGGTGAAAAAACTAGGCAGCATAATTCATTTTACTTCCTTCAAATGGTTTGAACTGAACCTTTACTATGAGCACGTGTATGGCATATTCTTGAACCAATGAATATGTACTTGATAATACTGGAGATTAGTAATACTGGTAATACTGGTAGTTTTACTATTTATAGATAATATATTCTCAGCTGCCAGGTTGGAGTTATGGAGCATTAGTTTCCATTGACTTAAACTCTCACTATTAAAAATATGGTTAACTTACCTGAAATGATATCCATTAAATGAATCATGTATAAATGTATTGGAAAAATATTAGAACTAATGTAAAGTTCTCTAACGACGACCAACAACCATTACAGTAAGTCACTACACTCAATTCTGAACAAAGGATGACTTTGATTCTTCATTTCATCATTAACACTAATATACCTAAAAATCAATTGTACAACAAGGGGCTGCATTGATGACGTTTGATGATGTTTCAAGAGCCCAGCATTATGTAGTCAGATTGCTTAGGCGAGCTGTTTCATCCAATTTGTACAGGGTGACATGATAACAGCTGGGCAGAAATTAGAGTAATGCCCATGCTGGCTGAGTTAGTATATGAGTCATGATTCAGAAATGTAACTTTTCGAAGTTCTGCAGTGGAATATAAAAGCCAGCACAACTGACTCCAAAGGCCTTGCCAAATCTTTAAGCATTGCAGCAGTACCATGGAAGGAATCCAAGGAATCGTTATTTCCACTCTACTGCAGTTGCTTTTAGAGAATATCATCTCAACAAATGCACCAAGAATATGTGCTGTATAAAACTATGTTAAGTACACAGTTTGAACTAAATATCCTGAACGTATATGCACTATCATAGCTTTACTGCTTTCAAATGGAAAGAAATCAACTGATAATTAGGCATAGTGATCCTGTAGAAAAGGTCAGGTAGTTTGAAGGTGTTGTCAGGAACTGCAGCTCTACCTTCAAAATACAATCTTAGAAACTGAGAAATATACCAAATTAGAATCTAAACGTTCTGCAAGGCATTCAGATGATAATGGAGATGAGTCATTGAAGCAGTTTCTCCTTGCTTCCCTAGAAGAAAGGAAAGGGAAAGCCGCTAAGCATGAATGAATTGGTTTCAGGTTGCTATAAAGCACAGGAGAAATGCTTTGTTTTGTTTTTGCTACTGCGGTGTGCTGACATGGCCTTGTTGGCTTTCAGAATTACTATCTGATGTTCTACTCCCTATAGGGAAAGGGAGAACAAGCCAGCATGGTGTAGTGTTTTGAGTGTTGGACTACGAGACCAAGGTGAAAATTCATACTCAGCCATGGAAACCCACTGGGGGACTTTGGGCAAATAACACTCTCTCAGCCTCAGAGGGAAGGCAAGGACAAACCTCCTCTGACTCATTTTCCCAAGATAATTCCATGATAGAATCCTCATAGGGTGGAAATTACTATAAGACACACAACAAAAAGTAAGGATATAGCATGAGAACTAGTTTGTTCACAACTGCTCGGTGCCAGCTTCTTCTCTCTTGAAAAGATGATCATACTACGAGGATATTTTGGAAGTGGTACTCCAAAAGGATAACTTTTCTAAATTATCCTTAAATAATAAATATTTCAGAGATAAGATGATGGGTAGAAGAACTCCACATGCGATTATATTGATTCTACTTTCACAGTGCTTTTTTAAAGACCTGGGTGACAATAGCTGCAATGCCTATAATAATCATCCCTACTTACAATAGCCACAATATACCCGATGGTGAGTCAAGAGATCTGTCTCCAAGAAAGAGCTTGTACCTATGCCTTCTGGGACAATTAAAATAAACCAAGCACAGTTCCAAAGCTTAGAAAGTGCCATTCACCTAGACTCCTGATGAAACAGCTTTTTGAAATGAAAGCTTAAATGTATGTGAGAAAAGATAATATAGATATCTAATATTACATAGCCTAGCCCTTCTTCTTAATGCCTTTTGTTGTGGTATTAAGCTGAAGTGCTTATTCTTTAGAAGCATTGATATAGATTAATAAAACCTTCATATCAGCCCAAGAAAAACATTAATCTAGTTACTGCTAATCTAATAAATATGCTAAGATTGCAGAACATGAACTCTAAATTATGCTTGTGACTGTGTGTAGGCATTATTAAATGTGCCTGTCTGCTTTATATAGTTCATATCACTGTGAATGTCAAATGCTAGCCTTCAAATGTGCATGGATATGGATATGATTAAGTGACTAATGGAAGCAGAAGATTCCATGCATCAGCCTAAGGTTCAAGATACCATGCTTTCCAAAGTATAATATTTACCTCCTGTTTAGCATCTGAAAACAGCAAGTCCCAAAAGCCACCAGTATCAACAACAGCAGTGGTATAGTTGGTATAACAACATAAATTAGATTGGGAATTAAACCTACAAGAAAAAAAGCATTATTTTTTTGTTTGACAATCTAAAAGTTCCATTTACATCTCTATCTCATTATATACACAAAAGTCTCAAGACTTGTACTCATTAAACACCACCTAATGTTCTTGAGCTCTTATGAATCAGTGGTTCACACTTATAATCAAATTGGCTCCAGTCCATAAAACGTGATGCATTTTGACTTAAGAATGATGATGATGATGATGATGATTATTATTATTAAACTTTATTTGTACCCCGCTAGCATCTCCCAAAACACTCAATGCGGCTTACAAAGGCCAAGGCCTCAATACACAACATAACAATACACCTAAAGTAAATTAAAAACAATTAAAGCAGTATTAAAACAACAAAACAACACGCAATAAACAATACATCAAAACACGATAAAACTGGGCCGGGCCAGAGTAAGTTGGTTCTGATTTTCAAGTTATTCAGTCTGTTCATTAAGCAAACATTTTGTTTGATAATTAAGATCAATTTTCCCAAGCTACCTTAAACCAAATTGGTTTTGAATAAAAGACATGTACCTCTCCACTCTGTGTGGCTCTACAGTACAGTAAACATAAGAAAATATTTTGTGGGAAACAATGCTTGGCATCTATCCCTATGCTCCATGACATCTATCCCAGCTGATGGCATTTTCCCTATTTGCATAACAGTATCATATCATTTTATTGCAGATTGTATTTTCATTTTATTTTCTGGGAACATAGCCACTTTATTCATACTAGAAGTAAACAATGATTTTATGATTATGTGGTTTATGGTTGAACCTTAAATATCAGAATCACATGCATCAATTACCACCAGTTTCGGTAACAACCACTGGAAAATGGTCTTCTGTCTTGCTTGAATCATGAGGCTTCCCTGTTGGCACTGTTGCTTGAACTTCTGAGAAAGCAATTAGAAATTTGAACAAAGTTATTTTCTGAGTTGCAGCATCTGCTCACATTATTGCACTACTTAAACACAATATTTCTATAGCTGAACAGGATTTTAAAAAGACAATGAATAAACACAGTGATTAATTTGTCTACAGGACTTCTGCTGAAATGTTAGGACCACATCTGGAAAAGGGTTTTCGAATGATAAATGACATTTTAAAACATATATATAAATGTATTAAGATATAACTTTCAAATCTTATTTTTATAGGTTCATTGTTCAACTGTTCCACTACTAGTCTGCTTTTCTAATCAATTGGATTGTTTTTATTTTGGATGCGTAATCAGATTTTATTATTGCAACTAAGTCCAAAAGCTCCTTACCATAATGTGAATCCACTCTGTCTCCTAATTCTTTTTCTGAGACATCATCTGTTATAACAAGAGGAAAAAATGGGAAGAAAGAGGTTATTTGTATTGTCTAGATTTTGCTAACCTATGGTAAAATACACAAATCATTGTTTGGTTTTATTGAATAGTTTTCAAGTACTTCGAACTAAACCATAAGTAAAATATGGTTTTTTAATCTAGTACAAGAACTCAGAATGGAGGAGTAGTTGGATTGTTGGACTGAGTCTCGGGTTGCAGCAGTGACCAGAAGTGCTTTTACACAGTTAATGCTATAATATACTAATATAATAATATACTTCATTTATATTCCATCCTATCTCCCAGAGGTGACTCAGGGTGGATTACAGTACACATATACGGCAAACATTCAATGCCGTTATATATTTTAAAAAGACAGACATTACATAAACAGAAGTATAGATTTCCCATCTTTTCCCATCTCCAGCATATGGAGGCTATTGTCAACTCTGGTCACGGGGAGGTGCTGTCACCCCATCTTCCATGCCAAGGAGCTTTGTTATTCTTAGACATTCTCTCAATCGAATTGCCAGCATGTATACATGGGCACCTTTTATTACCTCCCCGCTAAAACAGTACCTATTCATCTACTCACATTGCTGTTTTCTAATTGCTAAGTGAGCAGAAGCTAGACTGACAGCAGGAGCTCACCTCAACCGAGACTTGAATTACATCACATTGCTGGAGAAGTCAGATCAAACCATGGTGTTACACACCTTTGTTTCATCCCATTTGGTTTCCTGTAATGTGCTCTATATGGGGCTGCTTTTAAAAAGTGCTCAGAAATTTCAGTTGGCCCAAAGAGCTGCAGTCAAGTTGTTAACTGTGTTTGGCTACAGAAAGCACGTATCTCCCTTGTTGCAACAACTCCACCTGCAGTCGGCCCATTTCTGGGCACAATTCAAAATGGCCCATGTTATTTGAAAGATCTTATCTCCCTTTATGAGCCTATAAGATTGTCTGAAGAGGCCCTTCTCTTTGTCCTGCCTTTTTCTGTGAGATTGTGATTATGATGATAAATAGGAGGGACCTGGAAAAAAATGTATGCATAGCAAACTCAAGAAGGAAAAGAAAAGAAAAAAATGAATATGCATAAAGAATGGAAGCAAAAACAAATCACCATAGAAAAGTAGAGATCTGTGGTCCAAGCTTGCAATATAAGGAAAGCTAAAAGTCAATATTTGTTGGTATTGGCTAGGCAAACAAGGACCAACAAAAAGGTCCTTTTTTATTTACATTCAAGGCAAGAGAAAATTCATGGAGACAGTAGGGCTATTGTTCAATACAGCTTTTGGAACAAAATGAAAAAAGGAGATTTACCCATTACCTATTTTGCTTCAGTTTTCTCCCAAAAATAGAAATGTGTGCAGCAAAGATCTTGACAAAGGATGCAAATTATCTAGTAAGACCTTCACATTAACTGAGGGGAGGGACACAGGACTTCCACTAAAGTGGAAAACCATGAATAAAAATGCAATTTATTTTATTCAAGAGAACACCTCTCTAGGAATATCTAGGTTCTCCAACATGACTCTGTGGACAATTTCTACCAGAAATTGACCATAGGCTTGCATTGGAGTATCTAGAGATTTCTAGAGAGAACATTTTAATCAAATCTGTGAATGATAAAATTCACCAAAATTAAACCTGCAAATGTGTATGGCTGACTGTATATTAATACAAGAATAGTTTCCAAGTCAAAGGAAATAAGGGTCCCAGACAAAGACAACAAAGATAGTAAGTATGGAGAACAAAATGTATGTTCAAGGAGCTGGACATGTTCAGCTTGGTGAAGAGACATGACTGTGATCTTTTAATATCTCAAGGACTGGCCCAGAGAGGAGGGTACAAACTAGTTCTCTGCATCTCGGATAGCAGGACCAGGTCTAATAGTCACAGGAGAGTAAATTTTGATGGAAGATTAAAGAGAACGTATTGACAATTAAAGTGGTTTGTTAATGGTAATAAAGAAGTGGTAGGGTGTCAGGACATCTTTGAAAAGAGGTTGGAGAGCTGTATGCTTATAATGCTTTAGCTGGAGATCCTGTGTCAAGCAGAGAATTGGACTCAATGATCATGAGTCCCTTTCCAACACAATGATTCTATTAGTCCATAATTAAAGGCCTGGAGATCGAGCTTGATGAAGAACAATGTAGGGAAAGTGATGTTTTTAGCTTGAATATGGGCTGACTGAGAGGTGACATAATAGCTATCTTTAAATTTCTGAATGAATACCATATAAACGATAAAGTAAGACTGTTATCTGAACATAAAGTAATGAATTAAAATTACAAAAAAAGATATTCCACCTAAACTGTAGTAGGATGAACTCTTTTCACTGTAAGAGCCTCTTGACTGTGGAATAGACTACTGTGGAGGATAGTGGACACTCCATCTTTGGAGGTCTTTAAACAGAGACTGGATGGACATCATTTAGGAATGTTTTAGTTGTGTATTCTTGCATGGTAGGAGGTTGGACCCAATGGTACTTGTTGTCTCTTCTAACTCTAAGATTCTATAATTTTATGGATTTTATACAATATAAATTGTTAGCTGTATGGTTCTATTTTAACATTTGTAAACCATCCAGAGAGAGGGAGAGAGGCCATTTTGAACACAGTATAAATCAGCAGTTATTTACAGCCAGAAATAGTACGATTACAATTGAAATGTCAAATTGCACACATAACCCAAGACTTCAAGTTAATTCTTTTTCCTTTTGGGGACCAATATTGGTTTCTGGCAGGGGTGAATCACAATGGGTGGGAAATGTGCACCACGACATACAGAGGAGGGCAAAAATGCCCACTCAACACCCTGTTGTTCACCAAACTTCCTTTAAAGGGAAACAAGTTCCTTTCATGGGAATTCCACCTTGATTTTCAAATCAAGGGTGAGAGAATTTTTTAGCTGCCACTAATAATTTGAGTTTATGTAAGAGTTTTGAATGAATACTGCATCACGTAATAAAATATGGCTTCAGCATTCTCTACCTGGCTTGTACTTGCAGATAAAATTGTGCTTCATGTTGCATCTGTCATCATTCCATTGGTAAAGATAAGGTCCTCCCAAACCTGGGTTTGCAGTTGGTTGATGATACATCACAACACAGGCTTCACTTCCACAGGAAGGCTCATCTGTATACCAATTTCTAGTACAGTGTAAAAATATAACAGAAACGACATCAGATAACTGAATCATTACAAATGAAGCTTTTCTTTCTGCTGAATCCTAATACTGTGCTGCATACTATGAGTCTCAAGGTTGAAGTCTCTAACAAAATCCAGAGTATCAAAAATGCATTAAACAATAGGCTGACCTTGAAAGTTCCTCTGCCTGTTGGCCCATGGAAATGGGGTTGTGGTCCACCCTGGGCTTTAATCTTACTTTGAGAGGAGGTATCCAAAACAATGAGCCTATTGGGACGTGGCAGTAGGATTGAGCACTTAGGCTGCTCTTTCAAAATCTAACCTACAAACAAGAGTTGCATCACTGTCCTTTTGACAATGGGAGCCCCACACCTGCCACAATTGATCTCTTTGGTCAGAATAACTTTTCAGTTAAAAAAAACCGATTTCACTAACATTTACCTGAAAAGAGAACTGCTTCCATCTGTCCATTTGTAAAGGTCAGGGCAGGCACTTGAAGTAGTTTGACCTTCACCACTTCTCCACAGCCCAATCCAGAAGTCCCCATCAGATATCCCGGGGCCTGACTTTGTGAGGTTCTGCAACATACTTTCTATTAGCTTCTGTTCTGCTTCGCTTTCAAGGCTTAGGAGCACTCCACCTTCCATTTCACAGCCTTGGCGAGCCTCCTGGAAGCCCACACGTCTGGACAAGTCTTGAAAATAGGCGATCATGTAGCACGGATGTGTTGAATCACCATAGCATATCTTTTGACCTTTAAAATAAAAAATGTAAATATAAACATCCATGATGATTGGCTCAAAAACCTACGCCAAACATATGTGTGGCACCAACCTTACCATCCCTTGATTGTTTTACTTAATTTATTGTTATTATCTTGCTGTGCTTCTATTTTCTTATAAATCATATCAGATATAATGAGTGTCATGATAATTAGACAACCAGTGAGAAACAGTTCACTTTGGATGCAAATTTACATTATAATATATAACATATCCATTCTGGAGTGCACAGCGCCAATAAGCTAGTAAGTAGACTGTTTTACAGAAAAGTTGTTGATTCCAGTATCCACTATTTTTGACTGGATACATATTAGAATTCCTTGACCAAAATGTTCAGAATTCTCTTGTTAAGCAGAATTAAATCAGACAGCTAAAGTCAAAAATTGTTATAGAAATAAAGAACTTCCATTGCCTGCAAATTGCCTGGATAAATGCATGTTTTGGTCACAATTAAGAACTCTATTTTTTATTATATTTAATGCCTCTTGAAATGGGTCTTTAAAGGTATATAAAATAGGTAATTATTTGGATTATTTCCTTTTGGGACTATTTGTCTGTCAAATCTGATTTTCTTTTATTGCTTTTATTTGTTATTATATTATTTAAGTTGCTTTTTTCAAATTAATTTCCATTGCTTTGTGAGTATTAAACTCTAGGAAGGTTGGGGAAAAACTATGAATTAATTACATTTATATTCTATCTCTGATTTAGAATTATATGAATACACTCCTCTAATTAGAATATTTGATTCACTATTTCCTCAACTACATATGAACATCTATAGCTCCAATCCAGAATTCAAAATAAATCTGCAGTCTTTGACACTAGATATGGGACTCCAGCAGTGGTAAAACATAATTCCTCTTATTTATAAATAACAAAACTTGTATTTATCTAATATTCTTAATTACATGAGTAATTATGTGTACAATGTTACAGCAAAATATATAATACATATCTGTAAAGTGCATTCCATAATAATTTATCATATTATGAATATGTTGATGTTTATATGTCATGTAAACATCAGGAAAAAAACTGTTTTAATGTTCTTTCCCTAGTTTCCCATGAAAGCATGATTAAGATCAGAAGCTTTAATATATCTACCACACTGAGTGTGAAATGTCATCAAGTACCATATCAAAAGCATGACATATTTAATAAACTGTTGGCATGTACTTATTTCTCTATTGGTTTCATAAATAATAGGTTCAGATTCTGCAAGAACAAAATTTTTAATATCCTGAACTAAAGTCAGAACTCTTTAAATGTCCTTTCATAAACTGTTATTTGGCCACCAGTGTTGCACCACTGCCTCGCTTTTTCTTGCTTTTGTATTATTTTGCTGTTACTGCAGGAATGTGTGTCTACTGAAACACAATTCTAGGAGACATGTGATTCCTATACCAATTTTTCCATGGGTACATGGGAGATGGGGAGGACAGAACCCACTGACTTGTTCACTGAGCATTTGATCACACTGGATATTGAACTCCCACCATGAAATAAAGTGAGCAGTCAGAAGAAAATAGATCTAAGGGGCCATTTTTGGCCTATTTATTAAAAGAACTTGGAATATCTATAAAAGGAAAACTGTTAAACATGGGTTATTGGCCACCAAGTGAGCCTTGTCCCTAGGCCAAGTGTCACTCCCTCTGACCACCTCCAAGGACATGCATGCACTAAGGATCCCAAAGGCCAACTAAAATTATTTGGCTGCACCTCTCACCTGATCATAGCTGGGAGGCCATTATGAGGGGGCTCCCTCCCAAACCACAGTGTTTTTTAAGGAGTGAGAGCCCTCATTCGAGACCCAAGTGTAGCTCCAATTTTATTAAAACTTATAGGGACTTTTGTGAGAGTCAATTCTTCACCCCCTAAAGGGGTGGGGTACCATGATGCTTACCATGACTATTTAACTTTTACCATGTCTTGGAATTTTATTAAATGACTCAAGGAAACCTATTTAAATGCCTCCACCCTCACCTAGTTCCCACACCTCTAAATACAAACTTGGTGTGTGTGTGTGTGTGGGGGTAACCCCCCCCCCCGATGCAAAGTTGGTAGTGGGGGAATTCCTACCTGCTCCTTGCACAACCAGCTTATACTCACACTGTCCATAGGGCAGGAGGGTGGGTCATACTGAGATGAAGCAGACTGGACAGGGGATGGAGCAGACTTGAAAAACTTTCTGTTTCACCCCAATCATGTGGCTGAGGTCAACCAAGTCTGACTCCTTTATGGGAGCCTTCACCCGCTCCCACCCTCCAGCACCTTAAGCTTTGCTTGGCTGTAGGTGGTGCTTCAGTCCTTTATGATTGCCTACTGACTGTAAAAAGTACAGTAGGCTGGTAAATAATCATCATCTTACTCTTTTGCATGGTTAGTCTATATATGCAAATAATAATAATAATAATAATAATAATAATAACTTTATTTGTACCTTGCTACTATCTCCCCAAGTGACTCGGTATGGCATACATGAGGCCAAGCCCACAGTACATCAATAAACAAAGCAATAACAAAACAATCAAAGCAATACAATTAATATAAATCACGTAACAAAAAAAAATCCAATAAAACAACAGTAACACACAAGCATTTAAAACCAATGGCCGGGCCAAATATAAGAGATTAAAATTTAAAATAATGCTGGACATGAACAAGGTAGGATATTACTGGGATAGAATTTTCAAGGAGAGATGCAGAAACGCAGTCAGTCCTAAATCAATGTAAAGTGCATTTTGAGGGTATATTACTGAGAGTTTTCTTTATTCTGGGAAGGCACACTGGAACAACCACGTTTTCAGGCTCCTCCTAAAGACTGACAGAGTTGGGGCATGTATGTTGTCCTTGGGAAGTGAGTTCCAGAGTCGGGGGGGCACCACCAAGAAGGCCCTCTCCCTCGTCCCCACTAATCGCGCCTGTGATGGGGGTGGGAGCGCAAGCAGGGCCTCTCCAGATGATCAAAGAGATCCTGTGGGTTCATACACAGAAATGCGGTCACGCAGGTAGGCAGGTCCCAAACCGTTCAGGGCTTTGTAGATAAGAACCTGCACCTTGAATTGGGACCAGAAAATGAAAGGCAGCCAGTGGAGCTCCTTAAACAGGAGGGTTGACCACTCTCTGTAAGAAGCACCAGTTTGTAACCTGGCTGCCGCCCGTTGTAATTTCTGGGCCCTAATTGAAATTTCTGGGCCCTTTTCAAGGGCAGCCCCATGTAGAGTGCATTACAGTAATCCAATCTGGAGGTGACTAAGGCTTGGACCATCCTGGCCAGATCTGATTTCACAAGGTACGGTCACAGCTGGTGCACGAGTCTTAATTGTGTGAAGGTCTTCCCAGCCACCGCCGACGCCTGAGCTTCAAGCGTAAGTGATGAGTCCAGGAGGACACCCAGACTGCGGACCTGTGACTTCAGGGGGAGTGCAACCCCGTCCAGCACAGGTTGCCACCCTATACCCCAATCTGGCTTACAATCGACCAGGATGACGTCTTGTTGGGATTGATCCTCAGCTTGTTCCTCCTCATCCAGACAGCCACAGCAGCCAGGCACTTGTCCAGCAACTGAGGGGCTTCCTTGGAGTTAAGTAGAAAAGTGTAGTAGAGTTGTGTGTCATCCGCATAGAGATGGCACCCAACTCCAAAACTCCAGATGACTTCTCCCAGTGGTTTCATGTATATGTTGAAGAGCATGGAGGACAGAATGGAACCTTGTGGGATCCCACAGGTCAAAGGCTAGGGTTCTGAGCAGGTGTCTCCCAGCTTCACCATCTGGGAACGACCCTCCAGGAAGGACCGGATCCATGACAGAGCCATGCCTCCAAGGCCCATCCCAGAGAGTCATCCCAGAAGGATACCATGATCGATGGTATCAAAAGCCATTGAGATATCCAAGAGAACCAGAAGGGTCACACTCCCCCTGTCCAGTTCCCTGTGGAGGTCATCCATCAAGGCGACCAAAGCCGTCTCAGTATCATGACCAGGCCTGAAGCCAGACTGTGACTGGTCCAGATAGTTGATGTCATCCAGGAAACCCTGGAGCTGAGAGGCCACCACCTGCTCCAGTACCTTGCCCAAAAACGGGAGGTTGGAGATTGGTCTGTAATTACTCAAGACAGTCGAGTCAAGGGAGGCTTTTTTCAGGAGTGATCTAACCACAGCCTTTTTCAGCCCAGATGGAAAAATCCCTTGCTCCAACAATGAATTAATGATTAATACAAACCAATCAATCAACCCACCTCTGGCCGATTTAATTAGCCAAGAAGGGCAAGGGTCCAGAGCCGACATGGTCACCCTCACAGCCCCAAGGACCCCCTCCGTGTCCTCAGGATGAACAAGCCAGAAAGAATCTGGAAAAACCAGACAAGCAGATGCCTCGGTCACCTCCCCTGGCACTGTGTTTAAGCTGGTGTCGAACTCGAGGCATATCTGCAAAATAGTGCGTGAACTCGCAGCACCGAGTTGTTGGGTCATCAAAGGCCTCCTCCACCCCAGGAGAGTGAAGGAGCTCCCCAACGACCCAAAACAGCTCCAAAGATCTATTAGATGCAGACGCTATGCGAGCAGTCAGGAAGATCTCCCTGGCTACCCGTATAGCCGTGGTATAGGCCCTAAGTGAGGCTCTAGCCTGCGTTCGGTCAGAGACACCCCAAGATTTCCTCCAGATGCACTCTAGTCTCCTTCTCGTGCGCTTCATCACAGCCAACTCCCCAGTGAACCAAGGAGATGGCGTGTCTCTGCGCAATGAGAGGGGACGTTTGGGAGTGATCATGTCTATCACCCTGGCCATCTCACTGTTATAGCGATCAACCAGGGTGTCAACAGGATCGCCAGGCTCCATAGCAGGAAGAGCCCCAAGATTCCTCAGGAATCCATCCGGATCCATCAGTCTCCTGGGGTGGACCATCTTAATTTGTCCTCCATCCCTGCGAAGGTTAGAGGTCACAGCAAGCCTAAGATTGATCAGATG